AAGAGAGTATCCTGGACAGCGATGAGGAAATCAACAAAGGAACTTATCAGGCCATCCCACATGCATGCTCGGTTTTGTCATAGCCCCTTTGTGCATATATATGCGTGTAATATGCATGAAAACGTCTGTCAGGATTCCAAGCGGGCTGTTAAAGCGGAGCCGAAGCATCATGCAAAGGTCAAGGAACGTGCTTTGCAGACAGTGAAAGAAATGAATGAGAAACAATTTGCAGAGGGAAAAGCAGAGATTTTGAAGGCGTGCATTTAAGAATTCAAGACCTGCGCATGTGCATATTTCAAACAAATCGATGCATGTGTTTGCGTAAATGCAAATTATACTGGAGATTACTGTTGAATACGAGGCACAAAAAAAAATGCGGAAAGCTCTGAGGGAAGAGGCTGCAGAAGTAGAGGATGAGGACAGGTTTTTGCGGGAGGAGGCAGAAGCCTCTGAAGAAGAAAAGGAAAGGAAGAAAACAAAGGGAAGGGGAAGGGGAAGGGGACGAGGTGTGAGCAAGGATGACCAACCAGTCGGGCGTGGGCGTGCAAGTGGGCGGGGAAGATCTAAAAAAACACACGATCCGGCCGAACAAGGTATGGGGGACCTAGCTGAGACAGGTGAAGGGGTAAGCAAGACCAAGGAAGGTGAGGCAGTGGAACGTGAACATCCGTGCAAAAGGAGTCCCTTGGTGAAAAGTCTGATGAAGCGAGCCGCCAGTAAACAAGATGTACTGTCTGAGGGCGATCAGGTCAAATCCACAAAACGCAGGCCCAGGCGTGACCCTGTCAGGAAGGACTTGGATGCATCTTTCCAAGCCGTCCAAAGCGCCCATGATGGTAATGGGGATCAGGGAATGACAACTGAGGGTAAGCCAAAGGACAAAGAGGTTGAGGAGGAAAATGGAGGGGATGGCAAGGAGGTGCCAAAAGAGGTTGAGGAAGGAAATGGAGGGGATGGCGAGGGGGCGCCAAAAGAGGTTGAGAAGGGAAATGGAGGGGATGGCGAGGAGGCGCCAAAAAAAAGGGCTCGATACAGCAACATTGGAAGAAATGTGCTGGTCTTGGGCTTAGCGAAAAATACTACAATATATGATATATATGCACTGTCGAAGTTTGCTGATTCAACATGCATGCATATGCATGTTTGATGACTCAGCATTGCCTAGTTTGATACATCTGCTACTACTACGCTACCTTTGTGCTGCCTTAGGAAGCCACTCTTGAGGAGGTCCGAAACGTGATCAAGAACGACCCTAACCCGGCAGTTCACTCCTTGTTGGATCAGCAGTGGACCGGCATGAAGCGCAGTCCTTGGGAACAAGCGCAAGTGTGATTCAAAAATCTAGACAGAGATTTTGGGAAATTTGGACTTGGATGAAAACACATTCGATACTATATTTATTGGCCGCCTAGCTTGACAAAGGTCAGTAACATATCGACGTCCAGAAGGTCTTCCGGATTTCAAGGCTTCTGGTGAAAGCTCTGCACTGCAAGTCTTGTCCAAGCCTTACCAACCAAATCCTAGACCAAACCACTTGCACACTGGATAGCATTATTGATTTTTTGTGGGATATACTTCAATCAAGGCTTGCAGCCCGCTCCTTCTACATCTTCCCTGTTCCACCGGGGCGTGTGGAATCCATCAACCTGAGATACAACATGATTCTGAAGGCCTTTAAAAGATGTACAGTAGAGCTCGGTAGAGATGCATGCAAACATGCCTTCTGCAATGCAACATTCCCCGCATGAATGTGATAGGTCAAAGCATCCCTTTGGCCAGGTCAACGGCCAGGGTGGTGTTTCCATGGGATGGAAGAAATTTGGTGGAGTTTCAACAGTGCTGGAAGCCAAGAGACTCTTATAGTACAAACAAACAACACCCAACGTTGAACACTAATATTGTTCGGCTGAGGTGGCCAATTGCCAAAATGGTCGCTGGCTGGGTACCAATCCCGAGCCGAGACTCTTGTTGAGGAGCAAGTAGATTCAACTTTGCAACCGCCTGCTCACGATGCACTCGGGGCCAATAGCAATGCTATATACAGGATGTCATCTCGATCGATCTGTTTGTAGTATGTGTAATATATATGTGGATTTGAGCTATTCTAAATTAACATGTCAAACTAATCATACAAATGGCCTAGGGACCGGATGGGGCCGGACCTTTGCATCACACGTTTGGTTGCGCCAAAACGCTGCTTGCGCAAAGAAGAAAATATGGTTTACACTCATTGTGGTGCCAGAGTTGGTTGATGAATGACAGGTGCAATACCATGTGTGTTTACTGGAACATCAAGTACTCATCATAAGGCATACATGTATATGTGCATATTGCAGCATTTGCCTTTGTCAGCATACCCTGTGCTTTTTGTGGCGCTGGTCGAGAAACACGACTAGTACAATGGTCAAGGGGGCTGTGATGCCTTCCCCGGCTGGACAGTCCTTGGGATTGTCCAAGAAGCAAATGCAATTGCTTGTGTTTATGGGTGCACCTTTGCTGTTGCTTCTCAGCTAAAAGAACTTCATATTAGTGTTTATTGCTCCGAATCAAATCACCTTGGTGCGATCCACTGTGTCAAGGTTGCACAGCATCGACTATGTCACACAGTGTGCAAGTGGTGGGCGCGTGTGTTCCCCAGAACTTCATCTGCTGCATATCTAGCAAACATGCAAACCGGTTGAGGACCTGATGGCTTTGGACTTATTCGCGGGGCAGGGAAGCGTCAACAATGGCTTCAGTCAGCACCCTAGTGACCACCTGCATTGCAATGGCTAAAGCACTCAGCTGTCGGCTCTTGCAGTAGTGTGCTACCTAAGATGAACGCAACATGAAGTCGCTGGGTGCTCAGACATTTCCTGGGCAACTGCCGTGTTATAACAATTATCACAAAATCATGTTTATATATAACGCTGCAGTGTGCTGGTTCCTCATGACTTGGTGAGCGCAAATGAAAATCATAGATCTACGAATAAACCGACGGATTGTTTTTGTGGGAGCACGGCACACTCTCATGGGTCAGCTGCGGGCTGAGGCAGGGATGGTTCCGGTGCCTGCTTCTAGCACTGCGACTACGTGAAGGGGGGCTGTGTTCAGCTGGCCCCCCCTTGTGGGTCATTTGTCTTTGTCAACCGAGCTACGTCAGGCAGGTCTGAGGAAAACCCACTGGGCTTTGCATCTCTACGGGCCTATGTTCGTACGGCGAATGTCAGGCGCTTGAATCGCTGTCGACGTGTATGCAACTTCGATGTGAACACCTGTGACGTCACTGTGATACTCACAAAAGACAAGCCAAGGTCATAACCACACGTTTGGCATTGGTGCTGATGCTGATTACGGCTAGGTCAGCTTTTTTTCTGATTGAACAGCCATCGTCGTCCTTGATGCCATACTTCCCGTATATTAAATTCTTGAGTGAAATGCTGTCGGGTATGGACTTGTGGTCAACCTGCAGCTTGCCAGGGCCTGAGTGAGTGCCCACAGGCAACAAACACTTCTTTGGTGGAATGATATACAATGACCATGCATATGATAACATGGCAACAGGAGTTGCTAGGGTATTGATCCATGTTTGTGTATTTTGCTACAATGCATATTATGGACAGCTGAAAGTGTGTGCTGAGTCCAATGGGATTTTATGGAGCCCAAACGGTGAAGCCAACGAAGGTATTTGGAACTGTGTGTCACCCCTAGCTTGGCAGTAGTTGACATGTGCCCGGAACATCTTAGTTAGCTAAGCCAACCTCCGGTGCTGGCTGAGACCTTGGCTTCGCTTCCTCAAGTGCAAGCTGTCCAAGAAGTGCCGGGCCAGGCTGGCCAAGAACAAGAAGAAACTTGAGACAAGGGGCACACCAATGACCTATCGTACAACATCGAAATCTGGGAAGATTCAGGTGTCAGGTCCCCAGAGTATGCACAGTGTATGCCACAACTAGAAGAACTTATTAAGTTGTGTCATGTATGACGTCATATATAAGGACTGGAGGAAAGGGGCTGAAGATCTCACAGATCTACCCACCACGGTATGGACAAGTGATGGCCTCGCTGCACAAAACCTTCCTGGTAGGGGACCTAGCTGGCTTTGACAAGTCACACGGTGAGAAAACATGCAACCCATTTCCAAGTTTTTACATGATCACAAACTAAAATAACTTACTAGTGCAACGAGCGCAGCCCCCCACAAGGCCAAGAACCGAACACAGCTGGTTCAGTATGGTCGTGCCTTGAAGGCCTGCGTTGCAGCTAGCTGGCGTGTGGTGTTGGATGTGTAAGTGCTGAAAGCCAAGTTGTAATTAATATCTATGATTGTACTATAGATGAATGGTCTTTGTGGCCGGAAGAGCGATTTCCTTCACTGGGTTGGTCCCTACATAGGTTAGGATATGTTGCCGCGGTCGATCGATTGCAATCGCACATCTGGAGGCGCCATATAATTGGCGGCATGCATCACTTGCAGATGTGAAGAAGTTTCTGGAAGCAGAAGCTCGGGCTGGGCGATTCACACCACAATTCAATGCTGGCCTCGATGTATAGCTGGCAGCAGTGTGCATCCTAAGATGTGCATGTGTGCAAAGCAGGGACTATAGTCTTTTTTAGGGCTGTCCCGATATAAGTACAATTAATTGCTGTTAGAAACGCGCTGATTTGGACTACAGGGGAGCAACAAAAGGAATATATGTCACTGTAGTGCACAGCGTGGCAGGTATGTACATGTACATTAATTCACACATGGATGGCGTCCATAGGGGGGCGTGAATGGAGCGTGAATGGGCGTGAACCAAGCGTGAACATGCATTTCTTAGCGTGAACCTCCATTTCTAAGCGTGAACCTTATACACCCTGAAAACACTACTTTTTGAGCTCTGTTTGGAAATATGTCGGCTAGAAGTTATTTGGTCTGAATTTGGGCAGAATGTCATCTGTTATCCGAGGCACAGGTGGCTCGCTGACGGTGTAGCTAGGTTTAGAACGGCTAGCTAGGGTGTTCAAACGTCTCGAGCTCGATGGTTGTGGATAGGGCTGCTGCTGCACTGGAAAGGGCAGCTCGTAGAGCTGCAATAGCAGTTGAAGAAGATGTGGCTTCAGCTGCTGCAGCTGATGGGCCACCTGCAAAGGTATCCAAGACCGATCAAGCCTTGATCAATGCAAAGGAGAAATCCAGGCAGCGCAGGGCAATTGCTGTAAGTAACCATGAATGAAGGAACATTTAGAACATTTGCTTTGATATGTGCACAAGTGCGCATGATCTGGATCACACACACACTGACATAGATCATAATTTATGAGTCAATATTTGATAGATGTTGGCGAGGTACCCAGCCCACAATCCGGCTTCTTCGAAATGCTTGCAGAGGAAAGTTGCCAATGCGAATCTCGAGCGAGGCCCATTGAAACTCAGACCTGTGTATCTCCTAGTGTCCTGGGTGTAAATTAGGGGGCTATTCATGTCATGTCCACATGCAGATTACCGCGCCCTTTTATGGGAGTGTGTGAGATGTATACATCATTTCCATCGGTGGAGGCCTGAGCAGTGCATCCACGGAACCTGGCACCTTGGAAGAAGCTCGGGGTATGGCAAAGGCTGCTGTGGCTGCTGCGAAGGCTGATGCATTGCGCACTCCGCCTCCAAAGGCCCGAGTTCCAATTGACCAAGACTCGGGTCCTAAATTGGACCCGGCTGTGCAAAGTGTCCAGATCATGAGAACAGGACATCGGCGTCAGCATGTGGAGGTTGCTGGTGCTGGTGGTGAGCAGCCTGCAAAGATTCCACGAACAAGCGAGGCGCCAGTTGTGCCTGCTAAGTCAGTGCCTGCTGCAACAAAGGCAGCAGCTTCGAAGGCTGGACGAGCTCCGCCAACTGCTCCAGCAAAGGCCAAGGCCGTGCCAGTTGCACAGCCTGTGCCATCGAAGCCCGCTGCACCGCCACAGGCAGCAAAAGCAGTTCCTACACCTCGACCTCCAGCGCCTGCTCCAGCAAAGGCAAAGGCCGTGCCAGTTGCACAGCCTGCACCGCCACTGGCAGCAAAGGCAGTTCCTACACCGGCAGCAAAAGCAAAAGCGATCAAGATCGAGAACAGTACTTTGGATTGCAACCAATCTCAAGCTGTGCTAGCTTCTTTGCGGAGGCAGTCAACGGAGAACCTGGGCACACCTGCACATGAGAGCACGGCACCAGTGAAACCTGCAGATTGTCCAGGTGATGAACCTCATGAATCGGAACCTCATGAAGCGGATGGTGACACACGTTTGGACCCGACCGTAGATGAAGAGAGTCTTCGGATGAAACGTGAAGCACACGCGCGCTTCATGCGCTTCAGCAGATCGCTAAAGAGTGACTTAGCTAGAGTTGCCTTTTTTGTTTCATTTATAAATATCGATATTATAGCTGTTTGATACCCCCCACCCCCTAGTGAACAAAATCATTAAAAGGAAATCTATATTATAAAAAGGAACTCAACATTAGGATTTCAATTATCAATATTATTCAAAAGGCAATCACTATTGTGGGAAAGCATTGTGGAGCCAAGGTGGTCCCCCAGAGATCAGAGCTGCGGGCCGAGCAGCATACCGCTGACTCTTGGTCGATGTTGACATGGTAAGATTGTTCTTTGTTACTTTGGGGGCATGGATGGAACTATTAATAGAGAAGCCTGCCAAAAATAGCTTCCATCCCAGGCAGCGAGAAATTACAGATTCTTCAAGAACAATGGGCTCAATGCAATGGCCATTGGTCATCATCATCGTTTTACTACCAGCTGAAGCAGGAGTCCAGGTTCCGTCGGAAAGGGGCACGTCAGTGGCTAACGCGCTCGCAATTGATCCAGCGGTTTGGTGATGAAGCTGTGGCAGACGCCATTGTGGCTGCAAAGGAGAATGAAGACCCAAAGCTCCATGCTATAAATATTTGAATTTATAAGAATTTCACCCAGCACGTGTGTGTATCTGAGGGCCTGATGCAGTATCTGGTGTGGACCGAAGACGGCATCGAAACCACAGAAGACACCATCACCAGCAGCCTTTTTGCTGCCGTGGATGAAGAGAAGAAACATGGCAAGCTTGGGATGAAGGAGACTGGTCGAGGTCGTAGTTCAAAGAAGAGTAGCCGGAAGGCCAAGAAATCGAAGAAGGGCAAGAAGAAAACATCGTCCAGTCGCTCTTCCTTGTCATCAGCATCATCCCCAGCAACTTCTCCATCTTCATCAAGTGTGACATCACCCAAGGCGAGTAACTAGCCACTGCATTGGAAAGACCCAGGGAACCAAGTATGTGAAAACTACTATTCAACTTTTGGGCCATGATGTGAATTCCGCCTGTCTTGGAATCTATTAATATTGCGCATGCACCGGTATAAACTTTCTATCAAATATTGTTCTTCCCTTCAGCTTTGGGAGGCCAAAAGAAAGGGCAAGAATAAAAATACAAAAGCTGAGAAGAAGAAGAATACGAAAAGTCCTGAGAAAGAGACAGAGAAGGAACGTGTGAAGCGTGAAGCAGCAGAAGCGAAGAAACGAGCCCAGGAAGAAAAGAGGCAGAAGGAGAAGGAACTTCGAGAGCAAAGACAAAAGGTTGTGCAGGAAGGTAGCAAGGCTCATCCTGTGCAGTTGTGCTGTGTTGATTTCTGAGTGGTCAGTGTGCGACCCAACTCCCATCTACAGTAATAGCATTGATCAACGTTCACTGTCCAAAAGAACCCGCTTTGATGTTTTGCATTTGGAGTCATGCAATAACAATGTATTCCATGGTATCTTCAAAAACTAATATTGCATAATAGAAGGGCACCCCCCAAGCCTTGTTTTTGCATTCTTGGTTTGGTGGGCTCCCAGTCTCCAATCTTGTGACCTCTTGAAAGGCCTTGACGAAGCTGAAGACCAATGTTGACAAAGCTACCACGCTTGAAGTGAAATGTGGTACCATGCAGGGGGCCTTGGACATGCATACAAAGGGCATATATAAACACATACCGGGTGGCTTGGATTGTCATACTCTAACCCATCTCATGTTTAGAAGAAGCCATGCATGGCCTCCCGAAAGTTGCCAAACTCCAACCCATCTCCCACTCCGTGGCCTGAAAAATCCACTGTGCCATGCAAGGTCCAAAGAGATGGCTACGGTGGTGCGCCGGGAGATGAAGCCTCACAGAGAGAAGCTTTCCGAGCTGCGTGACGTCTTGGAGCAGGAGGTTGCAAAAGCCAAGGTGGTTGGGAGACATAAACAATATATCGTATATCACAATGAAACTCACTGTCAGCTAGCATCATAGGAAGAATGTGTTTTTTTGGTGGCCATCTTGTAGTTGACAACCACATGTGGGCATGCACACAGGAAGGTGACTCCACTATGGAAGCAATGAAAGACCTGGCATCTGAAGTCACTGCGGCCGTACAGCGATTTACTACCTTTTTTGGGAAAGTCAGTGTGAAGTAGTAGTGCGTGTTAAAGCCCAATGCCTGTGACACCTTCTCTTTCAATGGATGTGTCTTAGCAGGGCAGGACTTGTGACACTTCTTTGGGGTCGACAGTGGCTGCCGCATCCAAGGTTTTGGGAGTTGTTCGATGTCTTCAGAAAAAATCACAACAATCTCAGTCCCCTTTGAAACCAAACGAATTCCATCATATTCCATCATTCCATCCCCAAGGGTGCCTTACCACACTGTCTAATGTTGTAGGTGCTGGGTAGATCGACCACGCTGTTTTCACGGCGTTCCAGCAGTGGGTAGAAGAACACTGCACGCAAACATCAGGTGCAAAAGACTGAAATCGAAATCAGTGTTCATGAAACATAATTTGATATTTGTGCAACTTTGTGCATATGCATGCATATGCATGGTATTCAATTGGAGCCCATCCCACGCAGGATATGAACAAGAAGAGTTTGTTCTACAAGATGCTGTTCAAGATGTGAGCAGTGGTGCATCTTGCCAGCAATGCTGGGTTTATACATAGTTAGAATTAGTCTTTCGACTGCTGAATACCTACTATACTCTGATATTATATCTTGCAATAGCATACTATATTAATATCCTGTTGCCACGATCCACTCCCTTCTGAATGGCTGCCAGGTATCTTCAGCTCAAAGGGCAACGCAGCGAGTGAGATCGCATGTGAAGGAACCTAGCATGCAAGCTTGTGGCGCGATCACTCTCTTGGTCAAGGGTGATGGATTGCCCTGCTTTGGGTCCCCTCCTATGTTCTTTCCCACCAATCCATTGCAAAGGTTTCTACCCAGGTTTAGTGGGAGATGTGCACTGATATGCCCAGGAGAGTGGAATCGCAGCCCACGCTGGAAGCCAGCACTTGGGGCGGAAGTCTGGACACAATGACTCGCGTGACTTTTGGCGCTTCACTGATATTCCGGTAGTGCCATTTATCAATTACTGTGATGTATATTTGGCTGCTACAGTAGATGTGCTTTCCACCTCTGTGAATTGACTTCTTTTGGGAATAATTGACACCCCTTTATTAAATTTGTTGGGAGAAAAAATCTGAGGCAATGCGGGAAGTGTCTGTCCCAGTGAAGGATAGCAAAGCACCTGGAAAATTCAGGCATGAAAAACAGTTGATGCTCTATCCTCACGATATCATTGCCTATGTGTTCAATGTCGCAAAACTGGAGATTGAACAGCAACGAGTGGACGACTATTGGAACCACCACCTGGCTTGCAGATCGCCCTTTGCCAGTGAAGACTCGAAAGGAAAAATTCCTTTGGGGTTATACGGGGACAAGGCACAGCTCCAGACCAAATATCGAGTGGAGTCCATATTCTGCTTATTCTTGAGCTTTCCCTTATTCAGACCTCGTTCCATTAGATACTCTCGCTTCTTGCTTTGGTCTTGCGACGTGGCACTGCTGTACAAATCACGTACAGTGAACACAATTCTTCGGAAACTAGCGTGGAGCTTCAATTATTTAGCCACTGGCCGTTATCCAACTTCCGGCCCTGGTGGTGTTGCACTCTCGCGAGTGGATCAGAATCGCGCTGGAAGTCAAGTTACTCTTCAATTTCACAAATTTCAGGTGACGGAGTACAGAGGTGATTGGGAACATCACAAAAGCCTGTGGCAGCTGACTTGCAGCTGGAATGGCATTGAAACATGCCACAGGTGCACAGCCAGGTCTAAAGGAAACGCGGGTCTTCTATACTGGAACCTGGATCAGAACGCTCGATGGCGGTCTGAGGAGTTTGACACCAATGACTTCATTAACAATCGGTTGCCGGAGTCTCATATTTGTCTCTTGGTGGGGGTTTAGGATGTTTTAGGGTTTCCATCCACCAATGAACAGCACTTGGGTGAACCTAGCCCAGAACTAGGAGTCTAACGCATGTGGGCATAGCAAACCTTGCAAGGCCCCCTGATCAATGTGCATGCATTCCATCCATCGTGCATACGGTGGTGCACGATGCACATCCTTAATCTGGGTTTGGTCTTTGGATTGAATGGAGGTGCACTGTGCCTTGAACAAATTTAGCACTGTTCCGAAATCCTGACCGCCGAGCCTTCGCAACCGGCTGCATTTGGAGATGAGCTCCAGGACAAAGTGTTGGTGCCCTGGATTTTTTATATCTATCATTGGCCCGTGGATAATACTATAATAGCTGGATAAAAAAGTTTGGTGTTGGGAAAAATCCAGGGCACCTGCTTCCTGGCTGGTGGATGCGTCATGACTTGTGACTGGAAGCTTCAGGGGAACACCAACTACACCCCCATGAAGTCCAACCACGATTGTTATGTACCGGCCGGTTCCCATATAACAACGATTTTCATGAATCACGAAAACAATGTTGTGTATCACGGCAAAAGGCATCACCATAGTGCACCCTTTTTATGCAGCGTTCGAGGTGTCTCCTAGCAGAGCGGGTGGGGCATTTTGGACCTGGGAGCTTCCAGGATCAACTGGACCGCGCATATAAAGACTTTGTTGCGTATTGCCGGCGGCACCGTCTTCACCACAGCCAGCCACCATTCAAAGAAAAACACGTGTCTTTTTTGCATTGGCAAAAAACACTATGAGGAGTCCTTTGTATCGAAGTGTGGGGCGGTAGAGGAAAAACTATGGTAGACACACAGCCCTGCCCCCTGTTTGGAAGTTGCCCTCAGAGAAAGGTCAAAATGAAAACTGGTGAGATCTTATTGCTGGCAAAAGCATGGAATGGCAGAGTTCTCGTTGATTGGCTCGCCTCTACATTGAGGGAGGTTGCACCCAATCATCCAGGATTTGATGGTGGGATCCTTGAAACGGCGTGTGTTGCCCTGCAACTCAGCGATATTTTAAGACTTTGCTTTTTGTTTTCAACAACATCCTTTAAAACATGTTAACATCATGTTTGGATAATCTGATTTCCGTTTTGGATCCACCCATCCAATCCTCTACACTGTGCCAGCAAGGACGTCCATGGCTCGAGTGTTTTGGATGCTAGAGATGAATGGTCGATATCTGACGATTGGCTGGTCAAATACATGTTGTTTGTTTTTGTACTGTTTTTATGTTTTTTCCTCAGAAGGTTTTTGTACATATATCACTGAGATGGTGCTGTCACATCTAGGAGTGCAGAGACTGCTGAAGAGATATATCAAGAAGGGCTGCTTTTCCTACAAACCTTTGAAGCTCTTGGCCATCTGTCAGTCTGCCAACGCCGGCTTGAGTTTCTACTCAAGCCCAAGGTTCACGCCCCTAGGCCTCTTTGTTCACTGTCCTTGTACATAGCAGGGGAACTGGGGGAGTGATCAAGCTGAGGCTTTCCTACACGTCCTCATTGATTTGCGTCGATGGAGTGTCTTGCATGCTTGCAGTGATTGCACCTTGTTCAACACCTCGATTAGTAGGTCCTGCCATCATGATTTTTCTCAGGAGAAAACCCTCGATATTTCCATTGTTTTGCTGATGAAGATGCCATGAAGTGGGCAAAAGGCAATCCGACTGAACTAATATAAGTTGGGTAATGTGGCAAAATGGATTACAGGCACAGTTATGCATACGTTCTTGAGCATCTGCAGGCACTACCCGATTTGCATTTGCTAAGAAGAAGAGCCGGTGGCTGTTGAGGTGTCAGAAATTGAGGCACTCTGCAATAGTTGTTGTCTGTGAACTGGCCCCTAGTTTAAACATAATTTGGTGATGTGAGGCTCAAGTCGATGAAGTGGAAAATCAAAGAGCGCCTCAGAAGTGATACATGTATACACATGTAGTGTTGACAGCTATTCAACATGTGTTGTTCATGGGTGGGCCCAACCAAGGTTGATGAAAACGGCCAACCGGTGATTGGTGGAAGCAGCATGAGAAAAAAAGGAACGATGGTGCCTGGAGAGCGTGAATGACCGTGATTCACAACCTTCGTTTCGTGATTCATGAAAATAGTGGTTATGGGAACCGTTATTGAAATAATAGTGGTTGGACTTCCAGGGTATAGGGTCCATATCCATGTCATCCCTTTCTCGACGTACCCGCTCCCTCTACACCGATGTCGCTGGTTCATCTCCGATTCGATCGACGGCGGCCTGCAGGCGTTGGCCTTGCAGTTGGGCAGCCGTTTGTTGGAAGCGTTGATCCAGGCGGCCGCCTCGCGCGGCGGCCGATTCGCGCGGCAGAGAGCCTGTTGGTTTTTCTTTGGAGTGTTTTTTTGTTGTTGCAACGAAACGAGAAAACCAAACGACACATCGTGTATGATATCAACACACTGCGTTTGGAACATGTTTATCATGTTTGTCATTGAACGGGAGCAGTGGGTTGGAGGCAGTGATATTGATGAGTCGGGAGCATGTGAGGTTTGAAAATCGGCCTGAAAACAGCGGTGTTCTGTGCCCAGATTGTTGCGACGTGTTCAGAACAGTTGGATGGATGATCCACGTATTGTGGTTTCTGAACGGTCGACCCTTTCTGAACGGTCGACCCGGATGGCAGCTCTGGCAGCTCTGATGTCGTGGCTGAAAGATTGGGATATGATGTTTATGGCCAGGACTCGTGTCCTGAAGCGAGTGGTTCTGACCATAAAACTTGGTTCTGACCCCAGTTTCTTGGGGTTCATTTTGAGGTACAATTGGCACTTGCAAGTGATGAAAGAGTTGAACACAAGTGTTCTTCAGAGCCCAAAACAGGAGCCATTTCGATTCCAGAGGATGAAGAAGTAGGGCAGTTACGCTCTTAAATTGACACGTATTGACACCCGCCGGAACCAAGCCCTTTGCGTGGTAGTTCAAGTACGACCCTCCTTATTAATTTGTTTTCTTTGCCAACAGTACCTTTTTGAGGTGGTAGAGGACGCTACTAGGAGCAAAGGGCATCGCTACTAGGAGCAAGGACGCTACGTTCGGGGCTCCTGGCCGTACTACTAGGAGCAAGTAGGTACTAACAAGAAGCTACGAACGGAGCTTTTTGCCCAAAAATCCCAGGCCTTGCAAGCCCCCGAGAGAGGGGCACCCACAGGACCGGTCCGCAAGTCGCTTTTCAAAGGACTCCCTTTGGATTAAAAGAACCCAGCCTTTTGAGGTGGTTGAAGAGAACTGGTGGGTTTGGATTTTTTTTCCCTTATCTCCAAAAGGATTCTTGGAAGCTAGAAGGGCTATGAGCTACATTGTTTGTTTGTTTGTTTTATTTGGGTCGTATTGTCGTTTGGTCCATCGGGGCACCCATTTGGCAGAAAAAACATCAAACTGACTACTGAGGGAACGTAGGAGGCCACAGCATTAGGTACAGCCTGTACAGCATGGTACAACAATACAACGACAGAACAAATCGACTTTGGATGATTTTGTTCCATTCGTCAATAAGACCGCAGCCTGTCTGACACCGTGGCTTTCTCAACTCCTGGCCGAGCACTCGGTGTGGTAAAAATGGATGGTGATGTCGTTGTGAATACCTGCGAATGGCTGATGTTGTTGGGAAGACCAAACTCAGTTGAAATATGGATCGGAGAGTGCCCACCTTCTCAGTTGGCAGTGGATCCCTAGCTGCTTTATTATATCAACTCAATGTTATCTTGGATATTGCTCTTTGTGTGTTCCTTCCGAACCCAAAAGATGGCCGCCCCAACTCCCAGGAGTGCCGCCAACTCCCAGAAAGCTCGATTCACTCCGATGAATGCACAGAGGGTTTGCCAGCGCCCTTCGCAAGACTCAACTTTTCCTCTACAACATCTAGGGTCATCTCAGACTGAACCTGAGACTATCCCGACATATATATTTACCTATTGCATTGACTCCGCAAACCACCCCATTGTTGATAAATATGCCATACATGGAGTGCCAGGGTACCGGGTATTGCTTCGGGAGAACAAGCGACATATGTTCAAGGCAACGTTTGGAGTGCCATTTGGTCCAGCCTGAAAAGACAAGCCTGACCGTCGGGTCCTTCCTGCGCAGGAAGCCCCTTGAAGCGTGTCCAGGTGCCAGAATCCTTGGCTACTCGGAGAACAGCTCGAGAGGATGAGCAAGGGGTAAGAAGTGGTTAGTGCTTGCATACAAAGAATTGTCAAACATATTTCTGTCATTGGTCAGGAACAACAACGAGCTCAGTGCAATCCGGTCTTTCTAAAGCAAACAAAGATCATGCAATGACGCCTGCAGACGAAGGGCACATGTTGGTTGACACAAGTGATCCATGGTAGTCCATGGTGCTCGGATGACAAGCACGTATTGGTTAAGTCATGCAAAAGATGGAACTGTTTTGGAGCTATACTTGGGCTGCTTGGACCTTGAGGACATCCAGCCAGGGTGATCCAGGGTCTGGATGATTAGTGATTTGAAGCTGTACTTGCCCCTTGAGGCGTATTGGTCAAAGCTCCACAGTTCCATGGACGATAATATGAGGCATAGGCATAGGATGTTAGACCTGTCAGCTTCCCCTGTTCGATGTGGATCGTTTACCTTGGGAGCAAGGACGCTACTAGGGGCTCCTGGCATCGCTACTAGGAACAAGGACGCTACAGATACATGTGTATCGGATTGAACATGTTCCACGCTTCTCGCCGTTTCTCGCCGCTCCACGCGGCGGTTTCGCCAGCTCCAGCGCCACTCGCCTGTCGAGCCCAAAACACCGAAACGACTGCATTCCACGTTCGCGCCATGGCGCTGGTGCTGGCGCTGGCGCTGCCGGCGCTGGCGCTGCCGGCGCTGGCATCCGCGGTTGGACCGATCTCCATCCCACTGGAGCGCAAGGTGCGGGGATATGGGGGATGAGGTGTGCAGTTGGATATAGTTGCGTGTATATAGAGAGAGAAACACTAAGATAGTTGCTGTAAAGATCTGTAAAGTGTTGTTTCATAATACAGATAGGAAGGCACCTAGTGCCCTAAGGACCCAAGAAGCACCACAACTCGAAACTTGAAACCCTTGATGGATTTCAACGGCTTCTTGAGTGAAACCAAGGGTCTGGTTGTTTAGCACGCCCCAGTTGAATCTACAGTTGATGCAGCACCTGAATGTTGACTAAAAACACACACAGCTTCCCAGTTCTGCCAAGGGTCTTGCTACTTTCTACGGTCCTACAATTGGAAACAGTGTGGAGCAAATGGATTGGTGTACTTTGGAAGTGGAGAAGCGAACGTTGCTAGACTTCGACCCAACGGGCCTTCAAATGGCTGTGGTCTTGGCGGCTCTGGGTTTGGCGAACAAGTCTTACAACTTGTTGCAAACAATCCAAACGACATGTCAACCAGTGACCGCGCTGAACATGGGTGCAATTCTGTCATCGGTGCATTCTCCTCTCAAAACCCAGCTTTTTTGACCCTGTGACTGTTGTTCCTTTTTTGCCCTGTGAAGCACCGAGTGAGAATTTTCTTCGTTAATTACATTCTGCCTTCTTCACTGCTTTGGCTTCAAAAACCCGCGTTGTCCAAAAGAGGTGGCACCCCTGGGTGACATCTCCAAAACCTACTACGTGGGCCACCTGCTGGTGGGGAGCGCTCCCCAACGACTGCAGGCCTCATGGAGGGTCGGACACCTGGACCGTAGGACCTCCATCCGCCATCCGGAGCGTTTGTTTCCTGCAATGGCCATCGGTTTTGTGCATGTTCGGTTGTTCGAAACGAGCGTTCGGGCTCGAGGGTGCCATGAGATTCGACTCCAAAGACAGACCACATGGGGGACCATGGTCATGCTGGTGTTGGTTTTGCATGTGTTTGTTCAAGCACGGTGTCCTAGGTGGTTAGATCGGGAAACGCTGATTTTTTCTCCACAGTTTGATGTGGATTCCTGTCGGCGATCCTCAGAATGTCCTCATAATTTCTGATCAATATCAGCTAATCATCAAGCCTTTGCCCCCAAAAAAATCTTCAGTGGAAAAGACCCTCCATTTGCATCCTGGGGGCCTCTTCGTCACCAGT